GGCCGTGCTGCGGGGCCCGCAGCGCACCGCCTCGGCCCCTGTCTGCCGTAAGGGGAACGGCGCCTGTGCGGGGGTCTGAGGAAGAGCTGGTCTGTCACCTGTGCTTTGTGGTTTGAGCTGTGTCGGGAGAAGGCGTTTCGAATCGCTATGAAGTAACTGTGCGCTTCCCCGCTTCTCGGCAAGGTGAGGGTGGCGAGCAGCGGGCGTCGGGGGCATCCGCGCTGCCTCTGTGCGAGCTGCTGCTGAGGTGTTTGCGGGTGCGGTATTCTGCTGGTCAAAACTTACTGAGCATATTTGAGTGTTTTTTTGTTTTTTAATGGGTTAAAGGAGAGTTTAGGAGCTTTCACCAAAAAAAAAAAAAAAAAGGGCTCTGGGAGTTAAAACACGTGATGGCTGTTTCACAGAATTTCTTCATGTTTATTCTTTAGGTCCATCACAGATCTCAGTGTTTGTGGAAAACTACTTTTCCTTTTTCAGTTTAGGAGGGCTAGCCCAGGAGGCCTGTTAATGTGCCAACTGTATTGTGAAACTTGTTTATCCCCCCCACACACCCCCCCTCCCCGAGGCCAGGGAAATCTATTGGTTAAGTGCCTGAAACTTTTTATCTTCAATTTTTTACTGTACCAGAATTACCCCAGTAAAGATAAGAGGAGAGCATGACCTAGATCGTGTTTATTAAAAAGCAATCAGGTACCATTGCTGTAATTGGTTTAAACGATAAAAAAAAAAAAAAATAATGACACTGGCTTAATTATATTGGTTTGAGACAGATCTCACTGGTGTGTAGCTGTTATATGGCATGAATATTTTTAGGTACAGTGCATTTAGCAAGGACTGGGGGAGGAAAGGGGAAGGGCAGTTAGACATTAGATCAATTTTAGCGGTGCTGTAAAACCACGTGTTCAGGCTCGTGGTCGATTTATTTTTCCTTGAATGCTGTGAATTTTGTACATTCCTGGTTCTCTGCAGGTGGTTCTCTGTTAGGCTTTTTTGAACACGGTTACACAAGAGTAGCCAGGGCAGTTAGCAACTTCCATGGGTGGATGCTCCAGCAGAGTCATAAGTGTCAGGAAGAGCCTGTTGTCCAGAGCGTGCTGCCGCAAAGTGCGGGGACCGTGCCTGCCTATGCTGCTCTGGGGCAGGGACATTACGTAGCTTTACATTTAGTTTTATCTGGAAGGTTACCACAGCTGCGCTTGGGCACAAGGGCTGTTACATGAGGGTTGCCCAGTTGACCATAAAACATACCAAGCTGTTACATATCGCTTATGTTAGCTGGTGCAATGAGTTGAATTGCCGCGGATGTGAGAGTATTGTAGAATGAACCGCAGAGGTAGTGTATTCTGAGTACACAAAGGGAAAAGTCAGTGAATATGGACAGCGTGGGCCTTCCTGGCCTCTGTGCAAGGAGGTTCTGCAAAAGCCAATGGAAGTCACAGCTGCTCTCAGTGGGCTGGCTTGGGTTTAGTGGTGGCATGTAGGAGAGGACTGAACCTCTGCAGTGCTGCATTTATGCTATTGGGAAGGCAGTTGCTGGAGAACTGGTGGGGTAAGAGATACATGTTTTCTGAAAGCTTTGGGTTTTCTTTTTTTTTTTTTGTGGTATAGGTACAATGTAAATTTCTAATCTCAATTTCCAGATATTGCCCATGGAAGCTCTGGACTAGCAAATGTTTCTTTTTGTGTGTGGTTCATGGAGGAGCTGGATGCGTTACAGCACTCAGAAGGGACGCCTCTTAATTTTGGTCTGCGAGCCTCCCAAGCTTAGTTTCAGGAGTTCGTGGGTGACACACCACTACGGAGGAGGGCAGTGACAGTTGTGTTCGTATGTGCTGAGAAAGGAATTGATAGAAGCAGGATGATTGTGTAACTTCAGATCTACTGCTCAGGACTTAGGTACTACAATGCTGTGACACTTTGAGTCAGTAAGTGTCCATTTCAGATTCCTACATCTTTGTTCTGTAAACAAATTACCTGGTGTAAACTTATGGGGCTGTTTTCTTTTAAGCTACATTTTCTGTTGTAGTTTTGTCTTTACTCTGATCTGACCTGCAGGGTACGTTATGGAGGAAAGAAGGGCTGATCTCAGCTGTGTGTGGCTCTATTGCGTGTAAGATGCAAATGAAATACTGTGCTCAGAGGAGAGCAGGTAGGAGTATCGGAAGTGGCAAATACTGCATTTCAACAACTGAGTCGCACAGAAGGGAGGCCTTCATGGCTGGATGGGAAGTGTGGTGAGAACTTAAGGGAGAAGGTAGAGGTCGGTTCTTAACTGCAGGCTTCTGCACACGCACCTGCAGAAGGAGAAATACTAGATTGGGGAGAAAGGGTATGTTTTGGCATTTTTGGTTTAGTAAAGCATTTTTGTGTTCTGCAGCTATGAGAGGTAGGAAAGACTCGATCTCTAGAGTGGATGGAGCTTGAGTGGTGGTCTGCCTTTATAGTCCTGTCCTGTGGACATCAGAGGATACAGAAGTTAAATGTTATTAAACGTCGTGAATTCTGTGTTTGTCAATGTTCCTGGTATTGCAGCAACACTAAAGCTCTCAGCGAGGAATTTCGGGGGGTGGGAGTTAGCCTTTGCCAGACCTTGCTTCTTGTAAGGATTTGAATTTGTCAAGTAAAAACTTTGGTTTTCTTTTTGTTTATGCTTTGTTGGCTGTATTGAAAGGTTCTCATTATCAGTTCATAGAAATTAGCCCTCTGTAGTGAGCATGAAGTCCTGGCTATTCTGGGTTCTTGTTGCTTCAGAATTTATTATGCTATTTTCTTTAGGGTTTTTTGGGGGTTGTGTTTTGGGGTTTTTTAAGAATACAGTTGTCTGTGCTGGGCATGTTGACTTTTCAGCTCATGCAGAGATTTTCTTTGAAAACAGTGAAGTACTGTTTATTTTGCCTTTATTTATTTGCCATTATTTATTATTTGCATTTATTTATTTGCCATTATTATTGCCTGGCAGCGAACCAGTTGCAGTTTTCTTTCCTCTCTTATCTCTGTTATTCTAACTTTATGCTCTTCTTCCTCCTTAATCTGTCTCCTATGTTATTCTTTCCTAATTTGCAAATCACTGATTAGTATTTTGCAGTAGTTTGGGGGTTTGGGACTTCAGAAGACGTCATGCTGCACAGCCATGCCCTGTGTGGGACTGCTGGAGAGACTCTGAGTGTGGGGAGGTTTGTTGTTGGTATTAGCCTTCCCATGTGGCTAGGAGAGTCTTTTACATTCAAGACAATAAGTCTGTTAAGATCCTAAAACTAATTTTCCTAATGACAGGAAAGGGAAGAGCCTATGGATATAGAGTCTGTTTTGGAGATATTTATTGTGGGATAGAAGTAGTGATAACATTGTTTTGTTCCAAGAAATCCATGTTTCTTCCCCACCCCAGCAACAAACCCTGAAAACCCAAGTTGGTTCTTGGCCAAATGCAGCCCCAAATTACCCTCTTTTTTCACCTGCCTTACTTGAGGACACCAGTACTACCAGGAAACAGTACGTGAGAAAGGGAATCTGAAAAGGTTTTTTGTTCTGTTTTTCAAGTGTCAGGGACTAGACATTTGAATAGATTTCCTAATGAATGTCTTTATGCAGAGAAGATGAAGTTTAGTTGATTCTCAGCTTGTTCTGACTCTTCATAATGTTCTGCTTATTTTGTTTAGGGCTTCTGAAGCTAGGTCATGCATTCCGTATTCTTTGGTGTGTCATCGCTACTATGAGTAGATAATGTAATCAGAAAATCTGGCTAGAAAGATTACCAGCTTTATGTTACACTGAACTATTTATACCTTCGGGATTGCAGACCCTTCTGAGTACAGTTATCTTGTTCACATATCTACAGATTTCTCTTTCTAGCTATAGACTTCTTGTTTATTCTCCTTTTTGCATTAGGGGCTATGAACATTAAGTTGTAACAGAAACGTAGATAATTTTAAGTATTGAAACACGGTGCATCTTTCTATTGCTAATTTCTCATGGCCATTTCTTTTTCTTTCAAATTTAACATTGACAGAGGAATTGATGTTGCCTTTATAAAGTCACTTTTTATTTCCAGAAGAAAACACACGTGGTGTCACTTTACTAGAAGAACAAAAGCAGAACTAGCCTGTGTTTTGATGACTTTAAACTTTCTCATGTTAACCATGGAGTACCTTAGAAATAGCAGGTTGTGTATTTTGTTACGCTGTGGTGTCTTTGGTGTGGTCTGTTAATTCAACAAAAGAGGTGTTTCTGTTTGTAAGTGAGCAATACTTATACTTGAAGCTAAGCGATTTAATTTAAATTGTGTTTCCTAATGACACAATCATGTAGAACATGCGCCTGGAGGCATCAAAACTGTTGAGATGCAAATCAAGCAGGTTTTTGCCAAATGTCTCTGAACCTGTCTTCACCTTCCCCGTAAATTTGCAGCATGTGTATCCTGTATTTTGTTTATAAGTTAAAGAAAAACCTTGCTTGTAATAGAAATATGTACACACACGAACAGTAGTGAGAAGCTTATATAACTTGAAGGGGAAAAGAAACACAAACCAGTTTGTGTTTTAATATCTTCTGTTCTGCCTCACTGCAGGAATTCATGTGTCAGGACATTGAGGAGAAAAGGCTATAGTTAACATATATCCCAGAGTAACAGTTCCTACAAATTTTTGTCATTTGTAATAAAGCATCTACAGTACCTTTTCTCCATCTATTAGTCTCCTGCAAAGACTAATGGTGTAACGGTTATATTCATTTCACTGATTGGGAAAAGGACGGACAGGATTTCCCTAAGCTGTTATAAAGAACCCTGTGTTCTTCCTTTAGCTCCTAGCCCGGTTCTTGGGATAGATTTGTTGTGTATTGTTTCCTGCTCTTCTGGCTCTCAGGTTGAAGGCCTGTCTAACTATTTCTTCTTGAAAAGAGAGCATTTTGGTTTCAGACTCTCCCTTTCTCTTCCAGGTGTTATTTTTGCACCCTATGGCCCTGTCTGGAAGCAACAGAGGAAATTCTCTCTCTCAACACTACGTCATTTTGGAGTAGGAAGACACAGCTTAGAGCCTAAAATCATTGAGGAGCTGCAGTTTATAAAGGAGGAAATGCTGAAGCATGGAAAGGATTCATTTAATCCCTTTCCGATCATTCGCAACGCAGTGTCCAATGTTATCTGTTCCATGGCCTTTGGCAGGCGTTTTAACTACGAAGATGTTGAGTTCAAGACGATGCTGAAGAACATGGCCCGTGCACTAGAGCTAAGCGTGAACAGCTATATGATCCTGGTCAACATCTGCCCTTGGCTGTACTACCTTCCCTTCGGGCCTTTCCGGGAACTTAGGAAAACAGAATTAGACATTACTGCTTTTCTAAAGAAAATAATTGCACAGCACAGGGATACACTGGATGTGGCAAATCCCAGGGACTTCATTGATATGTACTTCATTCACGCGGAAGAAGAAAAGAACAACAAGGAGAGCAGTTTTAATGAAGACTACCTATTTTTTATCATTGGTGACCTCTTCATCGCAGGCACAGACACTACTTCCAACACATTACTGTGGTGCCTGCTCTACATGTCTCTCTACCCAGAAGTGCAAGGTAAGACTGTTTTTATTCTAGGTGTTCTATTCCAACCTGTAAAGCTCTAGGTGAATATTTAGAAACAGAAGCAAACAGTGACAGGAGAGAAGTCATTTGGAGCACAAATAGTACATGTGTACATGTAATTTGTAAAGTTAATATGTAATCAGACATCTTCTATCCTGCTCTGCTATCGTGATCTCTAGGTTAGTGCTATATATTAAGCTATCTAAATGGCCCTTTAGTCTATGCATTTCTTCTGTTTTGGGGCAACTTTATCTTTCCCAAGCAATTCCAGGGAACTTTAGCATGTTTCAAAAGCTTTGGCAATTGTGGCATTCCGGGCCTATAGTAGGGTATAAGATATGTGAGATACCTAGTGGTAAGGTCTGCTTTTTTGCCTTCCTGAGCAGGGAGGTTCTTGAGCCTAGCGACGGGGCCGGGCGAAGCAAAACACTACCCACTGTAGAGGAAGATCAAATTAGAGACAGCTTAAGCAAATTGGACTTACACAAGTCCACAGCACCAGCTGGTCAATGTCGTTGCAAGGCCTTTTCCCATCAGTCTTGAACGGTCATGGCAGTTGGGTTGGTTGCTGATGATGGGGTTGCGAGGGGGAGGTGGAAAGACACGTGGAGCACATGGCCCCAGAGGAGAGGCAGAAGGAACTGGGCTTGTTCAGCATTAGGGAAAGATGACTGAGGGGAGACCTTACACTATGTCCAACTACCTGATCAGAAGATGCTAAGAAAATTGAGGCAGTCTCCTCTGAGGTGTGCAGTGGAGGGAAGAGAAGCAGCAGAGACAGTCTACAAAAAGAAAAATCTATCAGGTACTAAGAAAAAAAATTTCCATTTGAAGACAGCAAGGATTGCAACAGATTGCCCAGAGAGTTAACTGAATCTCTGACTTTAGAAGTATTCAAAACTCAGTGGGGTATGACCCTGAGTAGTATGATCTAACTTGGAAGGTGACTTTGCTTTGTGTAAGGCTTTAGATCAGATGACCTGCAGAGGTTCTTTGCAACCCAGATTATTTGATGGTGTTATAATCTCGTTACTGTTTGTGACAGTTCTAGAAAATGACTTGTAGATTTTTGTGGATGTAAAAAAATACCAGTGGTGCTGGGGAGGTTGCAATATTCAAGTAGTACTTGCTAGAGTTGCATTTTGGGACTTCTTGGGATAAATTTCCATTGCCAAAGACTTAAAATTAATTTTGGTTAAATATTTTTCTCTGCTCAGTCTTGTTACAGTACATGTGGTTCCAAAGACAGCTTTTTTGTTAATACTATTTCGTAAATTTGGATGGTTGAATTTAAGACGAATAAAGCAATTGATTTATTCATTTATCAGCAGCTTCTCCTAAAGTCTTATATAGCAACTGATTTCCACTAGAAAGATTGTCAAGTATATGGGGACTGGAAACCTTGGCAGGATGGACAGGTTCTACTTCGGTAATTCTACCTGAGTTTATAGTAGTGAAACATTTCCCCAAGAGACCACTGCTTTGCCAGGACTTGTTGCTAACCTGGAGTGAAGAAGGGTAAGCCTCAAGTTACTTAAGAACAATATAATCCTGGAATACTTTTATCAAGTATTTGAGATTTTGAGGTTTTTGTGTGCTGCAGCTGCTTTGCAAATAAGCAAATAGATGCTTGTTTACAGCACCTATCTGTCTGGAATAATCTCTTTAAATAGGTCAAGATCATAGTTTATTGCACAGTCAACAAAATTGTTGAGCAAAGATTGCAAAATAGGGCATCAGTTCAGTATAAAGGAGAGAGAGCCCACTGAGGACAAATGCGAAATAAAATTCTATTGCATAGGGTTATTCTGCTATTTTTAATGGTTGTGTGTTATCACTGCTTGCCTTGATACACAGTTAGATGAATTAGATACGTTCTAAATTACACAAATGAGATCTAGAAGAGTTTTGTGTTGTTTTTTTTTTTTTTTTTAACCCCTTTTCCTACTACCTGGTACTGTACATGTATGTGCTAGTCAGTTTTCTCTTTTCTGCTGATTTCTCTAACAGTTTTATTGCCTCTCTCTGATTTCCTCTTTCCTTACACTGTGGCTGTTGTCAATATGAATAAGATCAGTAGTCCAGAGTGTATCACTTAGCTATGTAATGTGATTCTTTTACTTCTAGTATCCCATTCCTTCTGTATCCTGGTTGCCTGGGAGTCATGTCATGCCTCTTTTTTTTTTTTTTTTTTCTTTTTTCCTGCTGCTGATATGTTTCTTTTCTCCCCTAAAGGAAATACCTGCATTGTATATCTTTCAGCACTAGCAAATGTTGTAGATGTAGAAGGGTATCAGGGTTAAAATATCAGAAAGAATGTATTTGTCTGTGGAAGCCGTTTTTGCTTTTTACATGGAAAAAGAGAAGGGGGGGTGTTTGTGCACTCTAGGGAGGCAGTGGGGAGTATTTGGTTTGATCTGTTCTCTGACTTGGTTTTGGTCTTTGACTTCTGGAGATCTGTGAGATTTTTAAATTATGAAATGTAATGGAGCAGTTCAAATAACATGCTCTTAAGCAGAGAACTCTTGAAGTCTATGTTTTTGCAGGTGGTTATGTGACCAGCAGTTTGACCACTTTCTGTATAGTTGCACATCTTTACAAACTCCAAAGAAATGTTGTTCAGGATAAAATGCTGGTGAGACATTTGGCATGAGACAGTCTCCTTATTCTTTTTTTTTTTTTTTTAATATTGAAAACTTTACTCGTTTAATTTACTGTGGATGTGCATACCTGAATACAGAGCTATAATACGTCATTAAATAAAGTAGGAAAACCCCACAAAGCAGGTACTCGAGAGCCACAACATTAGCAAATCTCTTGCTGTCCAGGTATTTTTTTACTGTGTTCCTCATTCGAGAACTTGTTTTCCTGGCAAACCCAGTAGGTGGCAGCAGCTCTTTGCTGAATACAGTTCGTACGTTATTTCTGAATGCTTCTCTGAAAACAGAGAAACTTTTTTTGCACTGAGCTTTCATTTAGTGCTTATCAGTGCTAAGGAGAGAAAAAAGCAAAACCTCAATGTATCAGCAGCCTGGATTCTGAATCTTGGAAAAGGCAAGCAGGACAACAACAAAATATTCAGGATATCAAGGGTAGAAAAAGAAAACTGACTTTTATTATTTTTGAGTAAAGGTTAATTTTGATGTCTCCTCTTTCAAGAGTGTCTTTGGTGTGTGCCCAGATTCCAAGTTACCTGGAAGAAAAGGTGCATCATCCTGTACGTGGGTGAAGTAAATCTTGTGTCTTGGAAACCTCTATGAAGAGAATTATTTGTATGCTGAGCCTTTAGTGAGACGGAAGGGCAAACAAGTATTTTGACACTTTGTGCCTCATATGTATGAGAGGGGAGATAAGCTTGTTAACTTCTGTTTTTCCTTTGCAGAAGGGCCGTGTGGGGGAAGGAGCATCTGCTGCTGTCTTTTGGGGGAACTGGGAAATAGCGGAATTTAGGTTCCGTAAATAGAAAGTAGGCAACAAAAAGAACAAGTTAAATGGCTTTGACGCTTGCAGTAACAGCACCGTAATCCTGCTCCAAAATGAAGTATCTAAAGCAGCTGCATGAACAGCTTTCCCATCTCTTCACATTTCCCAGTTCTGAGAACTGGATCTCTTTTTGTTCATTTTTTTTAAATGCAGGCCAGAAGCTTGATGTTTTCACCATTCAAATTACTGTATAGTTAAACTCTTAAATTAAGATTATGAATACATTTGGAACTGGAACAGAACTTTTCCTATACTTTTCTAATACAGAAGTGCTAATGACGTCTGTCGTCTCGGTAGCTTTTCTCTTGACAGTTGTCAAGACTGCGCTTCGTTGTTTTGTTCTTAACTGAGTTCTTAAGACTTATGTTGGCATAGTTGTTTCAGCTAGGGATCAAATGTCTTGCAGTCATTTTTGACAAATCTATGTAAACAATGAAGCATAGGCAGATGAAGTTGAGATGATTTCTTCTCACATATTGTGCATCTTTTTAATTTTTTTTTTTATTTTTCTCGCTCCCTTTGAATAGAGAAGGTTCATGCAGAAATTGAAGCAGTTTTAGGACGTGACAAAGTTCCCTCTCTTACCCACAAGGCTCAAATGCCCTTCACAGAGGCAACCATTATGGAAGTGCAGAGGATGACTGCGGTTGTTCCCCTTTCTATTCCTCGAATGGCCTCAGAAACCGCTGGTAAGCATTTGTAGAGACTTATTACTACAGCGTTTCTTTGTGGATGAAGATCTGATGGGGCATCTAGTGAGAATTTACAAAGACCTCGTGTTAGACATGTAACCTAAGTATGTAAAATGCCATTTATAGAGAGTAGATGGGCTTACTCTATTACTCCTCTATTTAAGCAGTATGCCTGACCTAACATCCAGAAGTTTTTGTATTCAGAGTGATTTCTTTTCTGGGGGTCAGCTTGTGTTGACTGATGTGCTTAGTGGCAGTTGTCAGCTGAGACTCCACCTTTGCACCTGAAACAGCAGAGTTGGTTTTGACCATCTGACACAGAGGTCTGAAAACATCAGTTTGGAGCAGTTGGTTTGCTAAAGCTTGAAAGGCTTCTACCATTGCTGCACCTGCAGAAAACAATCATAAATATCCTTTTCCAAGTTCTCTTGTTGACTATATGTGTTCATAAACATAGCTGAGAGCTGAGTGGGAGGCAGCACTACTTGGCCTTCAAACCCAGTAGTGAATTGATCTGCTTTTTTAAATGTTTTGGCTTGCAGGGCAGAGAGGTGCAACAAGCTGAAATGAGACAAGTCACTTCAAAACCCTTTTGTGATAACAGTTTAAAACCCACCCCTCTTCCTTACCTCCACCTTTGCTAAGCTGGGGCTCTGTGGCAGCACAGGAACAGGAGGAAACTGCGTCACAGCACTTCCATGCAGCAGAGTGCATTTCTAATGATTGCTGCTGCCTTTTCCCTGCAGGGAGCTGTTGGCGTAACTTGATGTCTTTCCATCTGCTCTGGCCTGCGTGATTCTGACCCAGGCAGGCTAGCAGAGACCACCTTTGCCTTAAGCTTCTGCTACGTTTGCAGCCCACAGCTGGGGATCTGTATCATTTTTGTGACATCTTCTAGTTGTCTTTTTAATGTCTCCCATGTTTACTTCTAGCAACTTGTCAGATCTTCCATCTCTGTGCTTTTGTTTAAGTGCTGCAGGGATATACAATTCCGAAGGGCAGTGTGATCGTGCCCAACTTGTGGTCAGTACACAGAGATCCTAACATTTGGGAGAAACCAGATGAATTTCAACCATCAAGATTTTTGGATGAAAATGGCCAGCTAATTAAGAAAGAGACATTCATTCCTTTTGGAATGGGTAAGATATCCTCATGCAGTCAGAAGCTGGTTGGGGGTGGGGGTGGTCTCTCAAATGTAGGGCCTTGGAGGCGTGAGATATGAAAGTTGTGCGTAGGACCAACTACAGCACTTGTTTTATTATTACAGTTGGTGGCTTGCAAAAGGAATGGGTTCCCTAAAGTCTTCAGTTCCCAGGCAGAAATGAGAAGTGATGAATTGTCCTTTGATAATACTTTTGCTGTGGATGTATATGCTGTTAACATGAAGCAGTACAGCTGAGCAAGGCTTAGACTGAAATACAGGAGACCAAAGCTTCAGAGTTCATAGCTTAATAGTAGCTTCAGCCTTTCTGTGTTTGGACTATGCTAGCACTGGAATTGCATGTGTGTTAACAAGTGGATCAACAGTATAAAACCAGTAATATGTCTCTTCTAACTGTTCTTTAGGTAAACGTGTGTGCATGGGAGAGCAGTTGGCAAAAATGGAGCTGTTCTTAATTTTTACAAGTCTAATGCAAAGTTTTACCTTTCTGTATCCTGAAAATGCTGCAAAGCCATCTATGGAGGGAAGGTTTGGTCTCACCTTAGCTCCATGTCCATTCAATATAATAGCTTTGAAGAAATGATACAACATCCAAAAAGATTAAACAAAGAAATACTGCACTTTTAAAATCCATCTTTCATTTCCAGCTTCTTTTGTTACTTTCTTTTCAGAAAAACACCAGCCATGTAGGCTTTCATAGTCAGTGAGAATGATCCATTTACACTTCTTTAAAGAGATTTTTTTGTTGGCTGTTGCATTCCATAAATAAGCTGACAGCATAGTTTGCAATTCAATATTAAAACTTGCTGGGCTTATCCCCTCTGTCTATGAGCTATTACTGTCGGTTTGTCAAATATTAATTATGGGAGAATGGTCCAAAACATCTGTTAGTGCTTTAGCAAATATTGTTATTTTGGTAAAAGCAGTACATTTAATTTACCAAATGAGTGAAGGACATCATCTAATACCAAAATGATTAATGTATGAGAGGCCATTAGCATTTTCTGTGTAAAGAAACATTATAACTGAGCTTAAATAGTGACAAATACTTTTTGGAAATGACTAAATGACACTTCTTGTAACCTTGGAGGATTCTTTCTTGCAAGTAACTTGTAGATGTAGATTGGATCGAATCAGTCTGGATTCTTGAGTCCAAACATTCTTGACTATCAGGGCTCACTATCAACAAGCAGGTACCAACTCTAAAAACCCAGGCTTGGAGGCCAAGTGAATCCTTGGATATACCGTGTTCTTAACATGAAAGGAGTGTGCAGCATCTGGGTGCACATGTTTTATCTCAGAATATAAATGAGAGCAGATTTCTCTAACGAGAAACAGAAGTCTTCTCTGTGGTGCCAAGCAGATATTCAAGACATCTGTGCTGCCACTTCACATTCGCTGTTTTCCTCACGTCAGCAGTGACATCTTCTTCCCTGATTGCAGCTGGGACAAGACCAACAGCCTGCTCACAGGGGAAAGCTCTACGTGTGAAATCCCGAATTTGGGGCTTGTACTCAGGTTTTTTATTTACACGCACTGTGGACAATACTGCCACAACCTATTTGGCTTTGGGAACTGGAGTCTTACTTCAAATATGACACTACAGATATAGGTCTTACACATTTAGGCATGGAACATGGAAGTTTGAGTATAAAGGCTTTCTCTTTGTTATCTTCCATATGGAGTAAAAAGGTCTGTAGTTCATACAGTATGAGTGTATCAGTACCTGCCTCTTTTCACATGCAAAATTTTAGTGCTGTTAACCACTGTCAAACCAATTGCTGAGGAAACCGGTTCTTAGGTGTTTTGGAAGGGGGCACTCAATCTTGCCTTTTATTTGAAAGATCTCTCAAACATCCAAAGTGATCTTTTGGAGGACATGTAACAATTAACTTCTAAATAATTGTTCTTAATCATCCTTAAATCTCTTTATATACCTTTTGGTCTAGCAGACTTTCATGTCAGATAAAATAATATCTACTGTTCTAAGGAATTTCTCGCCCCCCTCCTTGGAGATCTAGAAAACACTAACAGTTCTCCTAATGCCAAGTTTAAGAGACAAGAATGTGAAATTGACTGTAAAGTGGAATTGGATATTCCATAGCAGGAACTAAACCTAAATTGTAAAAGAAGAGTCAACTCTTCAGCTTTAACTTAACCTCCGTTTTTGTCACTTTTTAACTTGAAGTTTTAAAAGCCGGGTAGTGCCTAGCAAAGACTGCAAGACACTTATTTTGGATTTAAATTCAGGTTTTCAGTTAGCTGTTTTGAGTAACAGAGTGGCTTAATTTCTAAATGATATATGTGGTTGGTCATGTTACCCCACTGTTTGTGTGAGAACTTCCAGTTCTTACATGGGCTAACTTTTGACTTTATAGGGTAGCCCGTGCTCGTGTTACATTTTTTCTTTGTATGAAATTTTTGAAAACACCATAGTGCAATAAAAAGTTGAGTTTGGTACCAGTGCAAGAAAACTTGCACTGAAAGCTGACAGTATTGGAGTAATAAGCATTTATTTCTTTAACTTTATATTTTCCAATGAATAAATAGATTCTGTACACTTGGGATTTTTGTCTGCAAATTCTTAAAATTAGATATGCTTCATTGCAAAGCTAAATTAAATGCTGATAACATTTATCTTTCTGTTGAAATGCCTCTTTAAGCACCATAACGATGTTGGTGTGCAACTAATCACTTTTATGAAACACCTGTCCTTTTAATCAATGAGGACACATCTGAAAAGCACTTTAGTTGTTGGGTTGGTTTTTTTTTTTTTTTTACAGATTCCAAAGAAGACACAATTCACATAATTCCGTAGTATGTGTAATTGTATATATTTGTGCTCGTTTTGCCAGCTGGGTTTAGTTTAAAATGTCACCTTTGAAAACTATCCTTTGAAAAATATCCTTCTACAAATAGTACTTTGAGATGCGGTTTTTGATACCTATAATCAAATGCTGCATAGTGCGACAAGGTAAAAATACTGATGTGAAGGAGCAACCGTGTCAATGTCTGCTGGAATGCAAGATGTGGGGAAATGCCAGTAAAGACCTGCCTTTCATGCCTTCCAGATGCACTGAAATTTTCAGAGGATGCCATGAAAGTAGCTAAACAATAGCATAAAAGCAAGGAAATGTTTGTGGTTTTAAAAATGTGCTGCCATCTTTGGTAAACTGTAAGTACAGTGGTAGCAGATTTGGTTTGTGTTTGTAAATGTGTCCTTCCCCTCCCTTTTTTTAGCAGAGGAAGCATCTCAAATGCCTTATTGAAAACTGTATGTTTATATAAGTAGACGGGTATTTCTGAATGCTGAAAATTTTATTTCTGGAAATTATTTCAGACTTTGCTTCAGTGTAACTTTATTTTTAATAAAGTAATTCCCAAATAAGTGTTTGACAGCTTTGCCTAGTCGTTTTCATGAGTTTCACTTGTTGACTAAGCTTGTGGTGTTTGATGTTTTAAGTATCACAAAGAAAGCTTTTGAGTGAGAAGATGTTACAAAATGTTTTGGGTGAGGAGTGAAGGAGGTGGGGGAATAAAGTGATATTGGGAAAATACAATGCCAGGCATGTTATGAGCAACTGATAGAAAGAGTCTGTTCATTTTTCTCAGTGCAGTTTTAAAAACAGTACAGTTACTCAGAATAAAAGGAGGAGAGGGAAGAGTAGACATGAGGAAGATAAAAGGACGAATGAGTTGCCATCAGGAGGAGATGCTCAGTCTGAGGAACAAGGTGGGAAAGAAAACCGTGGGCAGAGTGGAGGTGTAGTTTTGTTGGACTCCTGGCATAGAGGGGTCAGAGAGCGGAGGGCAGGGAGGGAAGGGGGTGCCCAGGGAGAGCCTGGGGTGGGGGGCAGAGAGCTGAGGTCTCTGGCCCAGAGGGAGCCCGGGGAGAGGCAGGAGATCCTTGTGGGCCGAAGGGGAGGGCTGAGCAGGAGAGAACCCAAGCGCATGTGGGGAAGGAGCGGGTGTGAGCACTGGCGTGTGCAGGGAGCTGGGTGCTTCACAGCAAGAGCTGTGTGTGGAAATCCTGCGTCTTACAACCTGGAGTTCGGTTGCAGGTAACTTGCCACGGTGCTATGGGTTTTTTTTTAGGGAATTTCATTAATTACCTGCTCAGCTTTCATTTGTATACATGAGGAACAGTAACTCTGAGTCTCTGTTTAGGTAAAGCTGTTTCTAGCAGCCATTTACTGCTCCTGACAGATCTGCTGCTGCCAGATGAAACTGAGTGAGGAAAGGGGGAATTTTTTGCATTGCACTTCTGGTACAAAGTGCAGAGGTATGAGAATACTGCTTTTGTTTGAAGAAAACAAGTTGCTTAATGTTTACCCCGATGCTGACTCAAGTAGAATATCCTGTAATTGCCGTGTTGTTGGCTGTGGCTGACTTGGAAGTGCCGGTTGTTTGGGCGATGAAGGAATTGGATGGAAAGTGATGGCAGTCAGTATCTGCTACAATTCAGCCATTAGTATTTATAAAGGAAGAATTTAATTTTTATTTGTTGGTTTGTTTGTTTGCTGTATAGTTTGTGCTCGCCTGAAAATGAAATCCCCTTCTGGTTTGGAAATACTCTTGTTTACGGGGTGCCTCTAACACTGAGAGAACGGGCTGCTGTGACAGCGGGCAGCTGACAGAGAAGAGAAGGCTCCGGGGAGACCTTATTGTTGCCTTCCAGTACCTAAAGGGGGCCTACAGGAGAGCTGGGGAAGGACTTTTTACCAGGGCATGTAGTGATAGGATGAGGGGGAATGGCTTTAAACTGAAAGAGGGTAGATTTAGACTAGATATTAGGAAGAAATTCTTTACTCCAAGGGTGGTGAGACGCTGGAACATGTTGCCCAGGGAAGTTGTAGAAGCTCCGTCCCTGGAGGTGTTCAAGGCCAGGCTGGATGGGGCTTTGGGCAACCTGGTCTGGTGGGAGGTGTCCCTGCCCATGGCAGGGGGTTGGAACTAGATGATCTTCAGGGTCCCTTCCAACCTAAACCATTCTATGACAGGAACGGGCGTTGCCCTGCGCTGTGCCGGGGGGACATGGCAGCAGCTTCTGCCTGCGGCCCGCCCTTGGCCGACCGCCGCCCGGAGGCTGGCAGAGAGTTCCGCTCCTCCTCTTGAGGAGCGAAAGGGACTCGAAGCGGCCCCTCCCCGCGGCGGTCAGCCGGGCCTGGG